ATATATATATATATATTGATGTACGACTTCTAACTACTCCTAAATTCATTAACTTAATAAAATTCAACGAATATATCTCAACACCCTGTATATACACACGTTATTTCGTTCTAGGTTAATTCGATCGGCCTTTTCCACCGGCGAAAAAATTCGACGTTCGAAGGCTTGCTCCGATATACTTGGAAACGAACGCGGTATGCGAGACTCTCCAGCCAAGGATAGCTGGAGATACGAATGCCTGATCAAGCGATGAATATGGGGGTGAATATGCAGTTACAGTTTGCGTTACACGACTTAACGCGTATTTCGCCGTAAACAGTTTCTTCTCTTCGTATTTTCCGAATAAAAATCCAACGAAGAAGAATTTCCTCCTTCTTTTTTTAAAATCAATCTTGCGACAAGAATAATCGAAATGAAAATTAAAAATTTCGTTTCGACCATTCGATTTTTCTTTTCGAGGGAGGAAAGGGCGTCTCGAATTATTACCGCGTTTTTCAAAGCTACCGTTACGTTCCAGTGTTTTGTATGCCGGAGTGTTGACAGCCATTGTTGCTTCGCGCCACCGGAACCGTCGAACTTGCACTCCAGACTTGGTTCCATGAATCATGCGGCATAATTATTGACTCGTAATTGACGTAATCCCGCATCGATCTTTGTTTGGTCAATGACACGATTTATTATTCGGTTCGTCTTCGATAAATCAAGAATTCAATAATTTTGAGGTTAGAAGTGCAAGTGTGTATTAAAAGTATAAAGTTTGGAGGAAATAATAATATGCACGTGTTGTATCTGAACTAAGGTGTTTTTTTTTCTTGATCTCACTATGAGAGTATGCGAGTATCTAACGAGTTCAACGCACGTGAGGCATTTCTATCTTGATAAATTATTTATTCGTTTGTATTTATTCGCGCGCAGTTAACGACGATTTGCATTCCGCGTCCATGAATTAATAACAAACGTCCTTTAAATTATAATCATATATACCGTTTGCATATACATTCTTAATTTTTATACTCGATTCGATCCGATTCTTCTGTGTTCTGGATTATTGTAATTTAGGTGCTTTCGTAAAAAAGAAGCGATTTATATATATAATAAAATATATATAAATATTTAAATATATATAATATAATAATAAATAAATATATATAATATATATAATAATATATAATAATATATATAAAAATATATATAATAATAATAATATTTAAATATATATAATAATATATATCGAATTAAAATTGGAGACAAGTTTTGTATTTTTTTCTATGACGTATAATATTACGAATTTTGTATATACTTCAAAAATTTGACTAACCATTCGTGCGAGTTGTGCGTTCTCAAAAATATTGTTTTTAAATTATGTTCTTCATGAATGCGTTGTGGGCAAAAAGTGAAATATCGAACAAAGTGTATCGTTCCCACACTACGAAAAACTATTTATAGCACCTTATGACATTACTCAATTTCGTCCTCGAAAGTTTTTTTCTAAGCGTTAACCGGTTCGAAGATGTAGAATCTTTGTCCAAAAGGATCCTGTGTGGCAAAAAAAATATATATTCACCTCCTAGAATCTTCTTATAAAGAAATATGCAAATCGTATGGATTTTTATATCCTATAAAGGATCGGAGGTTTTTTTCGTTTTATTATTAAATTAGTTGGAAATCTCAATCTCAATGGAAGCCGCCATGAAACAGAGAAATCGAAGAATTCGTGGTAGAATTTTTAAAAATTATTAAAACTTGTGAAACATCAAAATTTTCGATTATAAGATAATATTCAAATTTTTTTTTTCGGTGAGTAATTGTACGAATATCTCTTTGAATAGAATAGAATATTCTCAGAATTATAATTAGATCCAAATGA